TGAGAATTTTGGTTTAGATTTACCAAAAACCATATAATAGGAGATCAAACCTAACACTTTCAATTGTATCCAGTTAGGCAAGCTCTTGCACTACATAGTTGAAGGTAAATCTAAAGGAAATTGGGTCAGACATTGGACACAAATTTGTATAGTGTATGGCCAGCTTAACTCAAAACTGTCATATTTATCTATTGGCAAAAAAAAAAGCGTAAAATACAAGTTAAAAAACGCACCAAGAAAATAAAAACACATCAACTGCAACCAGGATGGATTTGAACCTAGCCTAATACCTTTTATTTCCAGAAACACATTTAACTCCTTATTCTTGTTACTAAAGTGTGGTATGAAGATATAGACTGTTGACATGATATTAATAGGCCTATGTTGTCTCTGCTGCAACTACACCAATAGGTTACACCAACAAAGCAGCTGTGTCACAGGCAGCAGCTGAACAAGCAATCAGATCAATTCAGTGTTCGACTGGAACATAATCTTAGAAGCAATGTGTGTGTGTTTTTTTTATGTGTACTGTATATTGTTTCTGCTTGCTTTTGAAGGTTAAATTGCTTTGCCTTCTTGTAATCTTGTAAGTGTCTCAATCACTGCATTCTATATTAACTTAGAAATTGTCCTGTACAGAAAAGATTTTCTAGTCTTAACAAGTCACCTGACAGAGCCCATCATTCCATACATACAAGGTTCATCAATTAAAATTTGGAAGATACATTTCTGCTCCAGATTTGACTCATGTATTTCCAAGTGTCACACATGACACCAATATTTTTTTTTATATTCTTTTTTTAACTAGATATTTGAAATATCTGGGCACTGTTTCAAACATGCTATGTCACATATTGAACCAGTTTAGACACTACATGTACAGTAGTATTTTAAACTATTCATAGTGCCTAGTATGCTATAAATATCTGGTTTTAACACGTGAAAGTGGTCAAAATCAGTTTGTCAATACTCACAATCAAAAGCTCTATGCATAATAAAGCAGGCAAAATCTGTCAAACAGGTCTGGATCTAGGAGGGCGCTGGGATGGGGTGTGCCCCTTCCCAAATTTTAGTCTTGCCTCCCCCAAGGATCAGTGGTGCCAGAGGGGCAGACCCTATAATGACACACTGAGATCCTATATTGGTCAGTACCGAGGACTGTTAGATCTTTACTGATCAATGCTGGAGGTACTTGAATCTATACTGGTCACTGCTAGAGACACTTAGATCTGTACTGATCACTCCTGGGGGACACTTGAGATCTATATTATTCACTCCTGGGGACACTGAGATCTATATTATTCATCCCTGCAGACACTAAGATCTGTACTGGTCACTTCTTGGAACACTGAGATTTCTACTCAGTGCTGCTGTTAGAAGCCATGGGGCCTCATACAGCCAACCTGACAGCCCCCCCCCAAAAAAAAATATAACCAACAAAGTTTACTATGCTTCAGTTATGAATCAACAGAGTGTGAGTGATTGGTACCAATCAGTCATTGTGTTAATTCAGGAAAGGAAGGAGCTAGTAAATATGACATATTTACTGGACTCTTCCCCCACTCTCCATTATGAGGGATCCTATTGTGTACTTGCAGATACCCGTGGAAAGGAGAGGAGGGAAACCTGCAGCACTGTGGGGGCTCACAGGGGGACCTGGGCAGCAGGGGAAAACGAATGGTGCACAGGGAGGGTGATGGGTGCGGCAGGGGGCAATTACTTGAACCTATCCCCTGTATGGCTCTCTCTGCAGCAGCTGAGAGCCAGCAGGAAGGAGAGAAGAAGAAGCCAGCTTTCAGCTGCTGCAGAAGAGCCATACAGGGGGACAATTCCAGTAATTTTCCCCCTGCCGATCACCCTCCTTGCCCACATCCCATTCACCCAGCTGACTGGGCCCTGTACAGGAGGACTGGCGGTACCCCCCTTATCCACGGCCCTGTCTCTACTGGCCACTGCTGGGGCATTGAGATCTATACTGACACTGCTGGAGATACTTAGATCAATGCTGGTCATTGCAGGAAAAAAAATAGAGCATGTGTTGTCCTTGGTCATAAGATTCCTTTCTGGGAACTTGGTGGCCCTCTTCCCTCCTCCATCCCTGACTAGTGCACTCTACACACTAAGGTGTACGTTACATAGTCCTGACCAAAGTGTTCATTGTCCTAACAATTGCTAGTATAAGGAAATAGGGTCAGACAGTGTGTATTGTTTTTCTTAGCAGAATGTTGGAATACAGTGTTCAAGTATTTTGTGCAATATCTACACCAGTATTCAGTAAAGATGTATTCTTCAACCAATAGATGGCAGTGTTTATACTCTATGATATACTCTATTGTCTTTTCTCTGAACAAAGGTTCCTGTTTCATTGTTGCAGTGAAGCAAGCCGAAAAGCACATGTGGACTGTGCACGGTCTGTTCTATAGGGATATATACAGAATTTCTGACACAGAAAAGTAAATGTACTGGAGGGGTTGAATTTTTAAAACATGATCGTTTGTCCTCAGGCTTAGGCATATCTGTGGAATTATCATTTGTGGCTCAGTAACTAGCAGTATTTTGTGTTCAGGGACTGTGCAGTGTATACAGGGAATAGGGAAGAGTACTGTTTACTCAATCCCTGTAAGATACTCCCACGTGCAATCTTTCCATACCCAACATTCACAGCAGTGCACAAGAATTAAAGGAAGGTATGCTGATAATATACCCCTGACTTTTTTTTTTTTTAACTGTGCCTCCAGATCAGACAGGCTTGATCTGGCCCGGCTGTCAAACATATGTAACACAGTGGGACATTATCAATCCTACCAAATCCATGCATCCTGTACTCAATCACAAAGCACAGTTCAATTTTTGTATATTGCGACTGATTTAATATTGTAGTGCTAATGCTATAGCAGAATCATTTCCAGAGACAAACCAAGCATATTGTTGCACCAGTTAATCTATAAAATAATCGAGACCAATTCAAACATTTTTGGCTGAAAAGCAACAATTTCAATGTTCAGGTAACAACTTGCTGCACTTGCAAATCTCCTGCTAAAATAGTGCTGAAGTGGCAGTATTGTCACAGGTATTCGCAAAAATTAAACCGCCACATTGCAGTGTGAAAATAAAATGGAGCAGACCAATGAGGAATTGTTTCTGCAACTAAAGGGCACATACATTTAAGATGTGACACTTTAAAAAAGGTTACAAAATTATATTAACCTCTTTCCGCCCGCCATATAAGGATATGACGGGAGGGCGGCGGTTCTCAAAAGAAGTTCAGGTACTTCTTTTAGATGACACGATTTGCACGATGTGGTTTGCCACGATTTCAGTGAGATTCATCGTAGAACTGCACCGTGTTTTTTCCTGCTGCCATTAAAATGAATGGCACTGGAAAATGCAGGTCCACGATTTGTCCTTTTAGCAGAGCATTTTGCAATTGTGGGCAGGTTCATGGCGATTCTGTGTGAAGGCAGTCCAAGGGTCCATGCACACTGGGCTTAAAAAAACGCTGCTTCTAGAGTTTTGTGTGTTGCCTGTAGAAGCAGCTCAGTGTTATCCTATGTGTTTGTGCACATTAGGACATTTAGGGGTTTATTTACTAAAGCTGGAGAGTCCAAAATCAGACTCCCTTCTGCATAGAAACCAATCAGCTTCCAGGTTTCATTGCTAAAGCTTCATTGAACAAGCTGAGGTTAGAAGCTGATTGGTTTCTATGCAGAAGGGAGTCTGATTTTGGACTCTACAGCTTTAGTAAATAAACCCCTTAGAGTCCATTCACACTTGTGTGATTTGTCATGCAACTTTGGGGTCCAAGTTGCACCCCATGTTTCCCAACGAATACCATTCATATCTGTGTCATTTCAAGTTGCAGCAACTTGAAAGTAGTTCCTGCACTACTTTGGCCCGACTTTCGAGCGAAACCCTCCTAAGTTACAAGAAAGTCACACCTGAATGTTATACATGTGACTTGTGTGCGACTTTGTACAGCAAAAACATCTTTGGTCAAAGCCAAAGTTGCTTCAAAGTTGCATTGTAAAGTTGCAATAAAAATGGCACGATTTTGAGGTCGCACAAGTGTGAATGGAGCCTTAGAAACACATTTTAAACCCCACGTTTGGAGGCAGAAAAAAAAACTTTCTGGTTTGCAGTTTTGACGGAGTTTTCAGCCGCAAAAAAACGCTCCTAAACTAGCCTAAACTCTATATGACCTTTTTTTCTGCCAAGTGTACATGGACCCTAAAGGTGTCACGGGTAACATAACCATATATAAAAGAATGTAATTTATTTAATACAATAACATAATAAAAGACGAAAAACCATACTCGCTATACTGTACAGTATAAAAATAGACTATACACCCATATAATGCTACCCCAAATATTTTATATTATACTGATTTGATATTTTATTATGTTATTGTATTCAAGAAACTAAAATTCTTTTATATATGTTTCTTTTATTTGTGACACTCTTAAGGCCCCATAGTGTGTTGAAAGTATTACAAAAGGAGGTGGAAAAAATAAATTGGGGAAGAAAATGGAGCAGATTGCTATGGCAACCAGGAAGGTGTGGTTATGAGAAATTCAACATTTTACAGTTGTATCTGGTTTTGGTTACAGCAGAGGAGGTTAATAAACTTAGTTTTTTATTGCTATCTGTCTCTGTTGTGTTTTCTCGTCCTGGGGATCATACAAGAAGCAAGGATCAGAGACTGAATAAAAAAAACTGAAAGTGGTTCTCACTCTTTCCTACTCCGCTTGACAGAACATATTCTGCTCACTTCCTGTCTTGTTAATCCCCCCCCCCCCCCCCCCGGAAATGAGAGAAAATCTCCCCTGTGGCTAGACAAACCGCAATAGAAACATAACAGAGGTTTTATGCCTTCCTCATTCTGTCCAAAACCGTTTTGGGATAGAATTGTACCTTACATTAGCCATGTTTTGACATAACACTTTGTGCTCAATATATGTGATTTTTCTTTATTTTGTGCTTCTTGCAGTATTTCCGCAATGAGCCGAAGAGTGGTGCGCCAGAGCAAATTTAGGCACATTTTCGGACAGCCCGTCAAAGCTGACCAAACATATGAGGATATCCGGGTATCTAAGATCACATGGGACAGCTCTTTCTGTGCTGTGAATCCTAAATTTTTAGCTATCATTGTAGAGTCCAGTGGTGGAGGAGCTTTTATGGTGTTACCATTAGCCAAGGTAAGTTCAAGCACACATTTGTTACAAGATTTGCTTAGAATTTGCACTGTAAACCTGGCAAGTAATGTCTTCCAAAAGCCAATAGAAATTACATACAAATGTACTTGATTATTTAGATGATGCAGTTGCAAACCAATCCTTTTCTCCCTGGACATATCTTTTTCAACCTATGTATCTAATGCTTACATAAACATGCACACTTCTATTTTAACCACTTGCCCTCCTGAAGATTTACCCCCCTTCCTGATCAGGCCATTTTTTGCATTACGGCTCTGCGTTATTTTAACTGACATTTGCGCGGTCATGCAACGCTGCACCCAAATTAAATTTACGTCCTTTTTTCCCACAAGTGGAGCTTTCTTTTGGTGGTATTTGATCACCTGTGCTGTTTTTATTTTTTGCGCTATAAAAAATAAAATAGATCGACAATTTTGAGAAAAAAAAAACAATATTTTTAACTTTTTGCTATTAATCATGTCCAGTAAAAAAAAAAAAAAATTTTGTCAAATTTACACCAAATTGTAATCTGCGACATGTCTTTGCTAAACAAAATCCCAATACGTGTAAACTAATTGGTTTACGTGAAAGTTATAGCGTTTAGAAATGGCGGTATAGATACTGGAATTTTTATTCAGCGACTTATAGCGGGACTGCTGCAGGCATTCTGACACTGGGGGGAACTGACTTGGTGTTACTGACATCCCCAGTGACACCAATACAGTGATCAGTGCTAAAAAAAAAGCACTGACACAGTACTAATGAAATGGGCAGAAAGGGGTTAACATGAGGGGTGATCAAAGGGTTAGCTGTGTGCTGGGAGTGTTTTACTGGGGGGCGATGTGTTGGTGCTTCACTGTGCACAGCCATCCAGAGCATTGTGCCCGAGCCAACAGGGAGGAGGAGTAAACAAAGCAGTCCTCCTCCCCATTGGAGATCCTCGGTAATCACCAGGCGACAGCAGGTAATCACCAGTCGGGATCCGGTGATTGACAGCCGCGGCCACAAATGGCAGTGCGGGTAGGGCGTGCTCGCCCCCTACCCGGAGATACAAAATCATGTATATATACATGTGATTTTGCGTACCTCTGCCGCCCTGTAGCAGTATATCTGCTATAGGGCAGTCAGGATGTGGTTAAAATGTAACTAAAGGCAAATTTTATTTTTGTTTTGGATAGAGTGGAGATGGATTAGAATGTCTGTCAGTGTATATTGCGGCCTGTGCCCCTGTTAAGGAAGTTCACTTTTTCTATTTGTCCTGTTTACCATTATCATTGAAAGTAAAAGAAAATCCCACATTTTGGGTTGTCTCCAGAAAAGTAATAGAAGGGAAATCCTCCAATGGGAACACTAGTCCTGGTTACTTGGGGGTCCTTAAGGAATCCCCTTAATTTACAGGGATTTCCTCTCACTTACTGGGACAAGAAGTGAAGGGAAATCTCCACAATGGGACACGGATGGTGAAAAAATACCACTCCCTTGCTCCATCCAAAATGGGGAAAAAAGAAAAAAAAGTTTTTTCTATAGTTCTACTTTAGGAGCTTACTGTACATATCTATGTTGTACAAAAAAGGTACCCTTCATCAGACTGTTTGAGTAATTGCCATTGACCGTGCCTTAAGTAGAACTCCAGGTAAGAGGCTAAATGTGCAGTCTGAATATCTATTGTACATATATCTACTACCTGTCAAAGGATTCTGTGCAGCCAATCTTGTGATTTATACTCACGTGCAGAAAGAACACAGCTAGGCAGATGGCAGGGGACGCACATTGTTTTGCTCCGGCTATGCAGCAACCCATGTTATCCCTCCATCCCTAACCTTCATTAGGCTACCGGTTGAATGCAGTTGAATGATTCCATTTAGACATTACGTGATTTTACTTCCATATAGTCATCCTTTAATTTACCTCCTTATATCCACCACCACCAAAGTTTGAGTCACCTCTTTATGTTTTGGAAAATCCATGCTGTTCAGCTACAGTGAGCCACACAGCTATCACATGCAGCTGGTCCCATTCCTTCCCATAAAAAGGCCATGTAGCATAGGCATCCTCTGCACAGGAATGAACTAATACATAAGAAGGGACTGGCTGTTTTTTTGTTTTTTTTTATCTTTTGCATAGCTCTTGTTGGGCATGCAGAATGGATCTGGCAGCAACATGGACAGATAAGACCATTGGGGGAGGGTGATAACTGATGCTATAAGTGTGACGATCCCAGGATGCTGCTGCCACCTATATGTGACGATCCCACGATCGCTGCCACCAATATGTGACGAACGCGGCGTCAGACCCCAGCCCTTCTCACCAAACTCATGACCGAAGGACTAGCCAATCTAAAATTGCGATGTCACGTGCGTAACAATGCCACACCCAGCTGCACCCTGAACAACGATTTTCCAGCTAATTGGACCACAATCTATGTACCGGCAGCCTGAATGCGATTGTTACTGGGTCAGGTTAATTATGCAATTAACTCTTCACACTGCCACCACCTCCTTTTTATACAGAGAAAGAGGAAACTCGCAATATCAGCTATAACACTATAATGGTTGAGATAATCGTCTGTATAACATGGTCACCGCAGGCCGGTTATACAGAGGGTTAAACAAACACAGTAGCGCTCTTTTAGAGGCAGGAATTCGTAAATTGCAATAAAGAGCTATAGAAACAGTTCAACACTTTCAGAAGGAAAGCTTTATTACTAAAAGGTCAAAAAGGGTGCAATACAAATATTTACAGAAAAAGATGTAACTCATATATATATATATAACTATACAGAGAACAACAGCACAGCAAAGAGATAACAGAGAGAAGTTAGAGGGTTAAAGTACTTGCCAAAGTCCTGGGTTAGCAGATCAAGTTTCAGAGTGAAAGGGTGCGGGTCCCCAGGTGGTTCTGATGTTGAAAAGGGAGAATTCTTCAACTTCCTTTCTTAGGCCTGACAGCCCATTTTGTAGTTCCCCAGCAGGGGGTGTCTCTGAAGTAAAGGACCAATACCCCGTTTAGGGTGAGAAGGTCTGGGCATAGACCTAAACTAGAGCCAAAATCTCTTCTAGTTCATATTTTGGCTCATACCTTTTCCTATGCACAAGTGACACTCCACCCACGGGTAGATTGTTATGCAGACACGTCTGAGGATTGATTAGATATGACATATGAAATTCTACACTGAATGGTTCACAAGATCTACTTTTCTGCTTTCCTATGTATTCCAGCCAAGGAGAGTGACCTATCAAACTGTTCGCCTCCTCTTGGCCAATCTAACAATATGCCTGGTTTTTATGTAAGTCTCTCATATTCCAAGATATGAGACATAGGGGAAAAATGGATTTTAAAAGTGTTTATCTGGTTCTTGCTTCCTTGGAATGCCTTGAACTCCTGGGAAGGCTTGTGTTATCTTTTACGAGGTGTGATATTGCACAGCTCTCTCAGACAACCAGGCACCTCGAGGCTCCCTGCTGGGCTCTGGCCTGCCTGCCACACTTCCAACACACATATGTCCCTGTGGATTAACAGAGAGGGAAAGGGGGAGAATGAGGGACGACATGGAGAATTCTTAACAAAATGGAGGACTGCGTCAGTCTCTGGGTGTACGATTGCGACAATAAGAAGCAATAAAGCTATAAGACTGAACAATAAAGCAGCAAAGCTAAATCGGTAAGTAGCAAAAAGATCTGCCTGGTGGTACAGATTAGGATAGCGTGTAAATTACAAGACTGGCTGGACAGAGTTAAAAAAAAAAAAACCTTTGGCGGGTAAATCAATAAACATTTAACTGTACATTTAGCTGTTTGCCTGGAGTTCCACTTTAAGCCCTAGACACTCACAAAGCCCTTTTTCTAATCCATGCCTAGCTGCACAGGTAAAGATTATTGTATTTGATCCTATTTTTTGTATTTGCCAATAAAATGGGAGCTACATATCCATGTATGAGATTCATCTTCAAGTAACACACTTGAGGATCATCTCTCAACTGGAGACTTGAACTTCAGAGTTGAACAAATTATAGGTTGCTCAGCTAGAGATGGCACAGAGCTGGTTTTACACCATCTATACTCCAAAGAAGTCAGTCATCAGTAGTGACTTCATAATTAACATACGTTTAGGGGATATTAATTTCAAAGATATTTTCTCTAAAACTGTCCGCTGTTCATACCTACAGTATCTTCTGAGACCCTTAGTAACAAGATAAAACAAGAGGCCTGGGGTCTGTTTTTTCTCTGGCTGAAATGTCCGGCTGTATCGTTCTCATGTTCATTTGTGTGAGTTCTGTGTGGTATTTATACCGGATTTGATTTCATATTCCAGCTCTCTACAGCGTAGTCAGTGAGTTATGACCTCATTCTGCATTCTATGGCGCTGTGCTGATCTGATACAGCTCTGTGCACAAAGGAAGTGACTTCACTTTATTATTTGCGACATCATTTTACTTTCCTCCAAGGCCAGCGCTGTGATGTCTGCTCTGTAGTATCCTGAAAATACATGTCCAAGCTTCAGTCGCTCTGGTTAAAGCGTCAAAAACTATTACCTAGACACTCAACTTACTAGAAAATCTTTCATTACATTGCAAATCAAAATCTTATCTACAGACATCTACATATCTACAGGCAGGCTTTCCAGGGCCAATGTTGCCATATACATGATAAAATCTTATTGTCCATTTTTTTTTATCTCATGAGCTGGAAAAAAGAAAATATTAATACCGGACATCATCACTCCTCATGTTGAGGTTATTTGGCTTTTTTTCCTGGTTCCCTAGGAAACAAAACACTGAAAATCTTGGCTGTTTGTTTAATAAGAGAGGGCTTTATAGGATATGGGATCTGGCAATATCTGTGTAGTAAAAAGGAGTTTTTAAATGGATAAAAGCTAATACTTCTGACTGCTTTTGCAAGGCAGAGACAACATGTTTATTTTTAGGGTATGCACTCAATACTGCTGTTCCTTTGTGGTTCCTGATGAATTTGACTGCATTGTATCATTTCTAAAAATTTACATTT